ATACTATAAATAAATATTCAAGTAGGCTTGAGTTTTGAGAGAGTTTGAAGTTTTGAAGAATACTAAAAATTTACTTAATATTTGACGCTGATGATTATTGCCACTTGCCGCTGCCATATGATCAATGTCTCTTGGCTACCATCATAGATCACCATGATGGCTAAATTCATCTAACAACTTTCAATCAATCATAGTAATCTATTCACCATCATCTAACCTTTATTGTTTCATTGTTTCTATCTGATCATCATCACCCAACTTATGTCACCCAGCTATCCTCATACAATTGTTGCATCCTGGAATATTCACGGTGGTAGAGAAATATAAAGTTTAACATCTTAGCGTTGTACAAAGATCCAACACACAAACATATGAAAGAGAGGGTGTAATATTCATAAGTGACACTAAGATTTTTTACGTGGAAAACCTTGAAAAGGGGGAAAACTACGGATTGAAAGAATCCACTGTTATTTGCAGTCGATTACAAATGAGGATCTTCCTTGGGGGAAGGTATTACCTTGATATAATAATTATACATCATATAAAGTGTATTACAAGATGAGACTTGAAAGAATCACTATTGATATGTTTGTTTCATTAGCAAAATCATAATCGGTGGGCGATGGATGTCGTGAGGACCATAGTCGGCGGGCAATAGTGGCAAGAAAGACTGTTATCTGATGACAGATGTTAGAAAGACCATAGTCGATGGGCGACAATGGTCAGAAAGACTGTTGTCTGGAGAAGGTGGTCAAAAGAATTGTAGTCGATTAGCGACGGAGGTCGGAAGTCCGACGATGGGCGGAAGTCCAGCATTAGGCAGAATTTCAACGATGGATAAAAGTTCAGCGTTAGATAAAAGTCCAACGGATGTCTGACGATGGGTGAAAGTCTGGCGATGGACAAAATTCTGGTGACAGGCGGAAGTTCGACGTTGGGTAGAACTTTAATGAAAGTCCGGTGACTAACAGAAGTTCGGAGACTGGTGGAAGTCCAGAGTCGTGTAGAAATATGGCGACGGGCCGAAGTACGGTGTCGGGTAGAAGTCCGACAAAAGTCCATCGATAGGCAGAAGTCTAGCAAAGGGAAAAAGTCCGACATCGGGTAGAAATCCAGCGATAGGCGGAAGTCCGACGAAAGTCCGGCCACGGGCGGAAGTTTGGCAACGGGCGAAAGTTTTAACAGGTAGAAATCCGGTGATGGGCGGAAGTCCAGCTTCGGGTAGAAGTCCGACGAAAATACGATGACGGACGGTGACCAAGAGTTGGTCGATGAGGAGCTTGGTGGCAAGAGAAATCTCTAATTTCTCTTCCTCTCATTTCTTCTTTTTGTCCTTGCTTTGGACCCCTTCAATGAGGAATGAGTGATCTATTTATAGTTTTCTGAGAGTAGCATGACCGGTATATAGGAGAGAGATCAAGGGTAATTTGGGAGTAGTTTGAATGGACGATCGATGTTGATCCCCTTCATCATGGACTGTTTACTGAGCATTTGAATGTCTTAATGATATCGTAATTTGACAATCATAGCCTCATTGGATTTGTCTCGTCGAGCCGCTCGATTCGACTATAAGCATGTCACGTTTGAAAACCGTTTGGTAATCCAAAATATGGTTTGAACCTTCCAAATGTGCTACAAGTCTTTGATTTGGACTTATTTGAGCTTGAATTGAGTCGAATTTGATGTCGTTGGGTTTGTATTTCCGAGACGTTCAGTTCGACTGCAAGTTTGTTGAAATCAGAGTTCCGTTGATCCATGATTTAATTTTTGAAGTTCCCAACTTTATTTTTTAGCTTGAGATTCGTGCCCGATCAAGATAATTTTTTGATGATATATCAATAATCATCATCATCAGAACTAAAACCACTCAAATGTTACATCTGTGCCACTTTTTCTCTCCCTCCCTCTCACATTCACATAAATACAAATTTGAATTACATACTTTATATTCTCATCTTGACCAATTAAGAGTAAGAATATATTCTTATCATCTACATATATAGTGAATCATTTTAAATGGGCTATCCACATATAAATATTGAGATCTACTATATTTTTTCGATTTAGAATGACTTTCTTACTAATTTATAAAACTGTTGCAGGGAACGAAACCTTTTAAAACTTCATAGTAAAAAAATATCTTTAAAAGCAGTGAAAAAAACAGTTGATTAAAAAAAAAATTGAGCTTATTGTTCGAAGCGAAGTCTAAAGAGACTACTTAATTACTTCTTTTTAAAATAATTTTTTATTAAAAAAATTATTTGAATTAAAAAATTTTATAATAATAAATTACTTTAAAAATTAATAAAAAAATTATTCCAAACAAAATCTAAGACACCAAAAGCTAACACAAGTGTCAAAAAGACAAATTATAATCAGATTGGGCTGATCTTTAAATAAATTAATATGAACGACAAACAGCTCAACATTTATCCGTACAAGACCCATTCATATTTATTTTTTTATATAATTAAATAAATTTAAATACATTTTCAGAAGTTCAACATATAAGAAAATGAAATAGAAGTATGATGCATGTTTATTTATATTGATAAATATGCTGAGTTGTTATATATCAAATAACTTATTAATTTTTTCTAATGACTCAATTACTTAATAACTTATTCTATATCCTTGTATAACTTTTCAATATTGTATATATATTAAAATTTATGTATATTAATAAAAGTATAAATCCAAATAAAATATTAAATAATATATAATAGGGGTGTCAATATTTGACACGACTCGAAAATTTCGGGTTATGGTCAACCTGTTTGAGAAACGGGTCAGATTCGGATTGACCTGAAAATCCGAAATCAACCCGATTTGACCTAGACGACCGTTTCCTACTCTCTGTCCGTCCTATCTCGTCTGAAGAGATGTCGCGTCAGCCGTCAGTCGCATCCGCCAGCCATCTGCTAGCCACATCAAGCCGAATAGCTGATAGGGTCACATCCGCCATCCGCGTCAGCCTCGTCCATCGTCACTGCCTCGCCGTCTGATCCGTTCGATTGATCAGAAGTAGTGACGGGACCTCGACAACTCGCTATCTTCGTGCGCTTCTTCCTCCCTTTCGTGAGCTTCTTCAGCAAAATCCTGTAAGTGCGTGCCGGGTCAGGTCAACCCAGAAACTAGACAGGTGGGGTCAAGGTTGAACAAACTGACTCGTTTGCAAAAACGGGCATGAGTCAGGTTCAAGTCAACCCAAATAGGGTCGGATCAATTCTAGGTTTGATCCAAACCCAAATCGCAACCTGAATTTGACACCCCTAAATTATGTATGGGTTAAATTTCAAAAGTCCCGAAAGTATTTGTATAAGATCATTTTAGTCCCAAATTATAACGATGTTCCAATTCATTCTCTTGACTATATAAAATTGATCCAAAATGATCTTTTTAGACAAAAGCTTCAATTGGGACGATTTTTTTACTGCTTTCTAAAACAAATTTTTAGTATAAAAAATTTTAACTAAAATTTTTTGTAGTAGAAAAGGGTTTTATAGAGCATTAAGAAAGTTGTTCCAAATAAAGACTAAATTGAAATCAATTTTGTAAAACCGAGAAACTAAATTCGAATCAATTGCATACACAATTATAACTTTAGGGACTATTTTAGATCAATTTATATAATTGAAGAACTAAATTAAAACAACATAATATTCTGAGATTAAATTAATCATACACGAATAACCGGGAACCACTTTGATATATATATGATCCTGTCAATTTTAATTTAAATCTATAAATCTAACTAAGTCTAATAATAAAACTATATGTTTAAATTAATAGCATCAAATATATAATTAATTCTACTCAATAAAAATTTAAAAATAAATTTCTACAAAATTTCAAAATTTGTGTCAGGTTCAAATTCAGCTCTAACTAAACAAACTTGAATAAAATGGACCTTAGATCAATTCAATCTATTTAACACTAATTTATTTTATATAAAAGAAAAGAGAGAATGAGTTAAATCACAATAATAACTTCTATATTCTTTCTCAACAAGTCACACATAAAATGAATTCTTTCACTTCATGTGTACTATATATAAATATATATATATATATATTTCATTTTATATGTCCCATAAAAGCATTCACCTCACAAATATATCAATAAAAAATAAAAAAATAAAAACTAAGTGGGAGAATATTTAGGTGGCATAGGATTCCTCATAATGGTTAGATTATTTTTATTTTATTAAAAAAATTGATCCCAATATTCTTAAATTAGTTATATCATAATGATAAAATAAATACTCACAATAATAAAATAGATATTTAAATAAAAATTTTAAATTTCTTGTAATTTTAAATATTTATTTAATACTCCTAAATATTTTATATTATATCATTAAACCAACCATCTAAAGGACTGATCCTATGACTGAAAAGAAAAATCATTATTTTAAGATATCTAAATACAAAATATACAGTGAACTTCAAAATTTATTTATTTTAATTAGTGTAATTCATAATTTATAAAATATTAACTTAGAATTTTACTTTTTATAATAAAACATATATATTTAAATGAGAATTTGATTTTTAATAAAATATAATAAAAAAATTATATAATTAATCCCACTTATCTTGATCAGTTGGCTGAGAGTTTTGACTACCAGTCAAAATATTGAATTTGAGTCTAATATATGTGATGTGCGTATGAATTTATCTGATTTGACCTAAATGTTCACTCTAAAAAAATTTGAAGATGTTATTGCACTAAAATATTTTTGGATTAACTAGTGAATAAAATAAAATAAAATAAAATAAAACTGTCCTTCATCAACATAACCGCACTTTGATCAATTGATTTGACAATCCACCTACCAACCCCCTCACTTAACCTATTTCTTATCGAAAAACTCAATGCAAATTAATCCATTTTTTTGGGAAAATATGCAAATTAATCCTGAAATTTAATCTAAGATGTCTTAAATTGGCAGATCAAATATATTTCAGCATTTAATTTTCTCAAAAAAACAGGGAAAATAAAGCAACAAAATCCCAGTTTGGATTAGATTAGATTTGTTTCAAAGATTAGACATCGGCACTGAGAAAGAAGTGCAGAGGGTTTCACAAAACCTTCATGCTTTTCTCCATTGGAGCCTTTCCCAATTCCCTCACAACTAACACAACGAGAACCCAAACTTTATACAAAAGACAAAAGTTCCGAATCAAACTAAAAGAAAAATCAAAACTTTTTCTTGTGTATTTACTTTGCAGTTATTTTTTCACAATGCCCGTACCTCAAGTGAAGTTCTCCTGGTTCTTCGCAGAGAGCCGCTTTAGGAACTCGTAGGTAGTGATCATGGTGGTAGCGGACAGCGACATGGACGCCCATCTCGGCCCCAAACCTCTGTAACAAGCCATCCATCCTCCTTCCTTCAACAAGCTCTTCACCGCCCGCCCAATCGTCATTCTCCTTTTTCCTTCTTCCTCGCACCCATCCATCACCTGCATCCTGGTCTTGATCGTGTCCAGTGGCATCGTCACGAGCGCCGCTGCTCCTCCGGCAATGGCCGCGCTCGTCCCCTGAACCACAGCCACCGTTCCACAATCCGGCTTAAATCCGGCGGCGGAATCTCGACTGCGGCTTAACCAATACCCCATTCCGCTCCATATGATTCTCTGAGAAACAGAATAGGAAGCCCACCACACGGCGTTCGATGGCGCATAGATCAGGATCGACATCCCGAAGCCGCGGTAAAGGCCGCGGAGGCCATCGGAGGTTAGTATCTTTCGGAAGGCGTCGACGCCGCCGCGGTACTTAAACGGCGAATCTCCCTGAACCATGAGACGCTGGCTGACGACGTCGATAGGCGTCCAGATGACCTGCGCGGCAACGGCAGCGCTGAGGCCGGCAGCAGCGTTGGAGGCGGCGGCGGCCGCTGTCTCCGTCATACCGAGGCGGATGGCGGCAGTGCCTACGCTGCTCTTGGTGACCTCAAGCGCAGCCATGTAGAGAGCGCGGGCGGGGATGGTGCCGGTGAGGGAAGTGACGAAACCGCGATAGAAACCGCGGGGGCCTTCGTGGCGAAGGATGTAGGTTACGGTGCGGAAGCAAGAAAGCGGGGTGTGGGAGACCTGGAGCCGCGTTTTGAGGACGACGGCAGGGTATAGCGCTGCTGAAACGCCGGAGAAGAGGGCGGCGCCTAGAAAGAAGAATCTCGACTTGTCAAGCATCTCCCAGTCGATTTCAGCAGGAAGGTGGATCTCCGCCGGTGACGGATCCTCCTCCTCCTCCGCCGCTGCCGTCAGGTTCATCTCGTTAGTCTCCACTTTTCTATCTTCAGCTATATATAACCGGCCTACCCTTCATATCTACGGCAGTTGTAGAATCGTAAACCTAACCCTAACCATAATTCTCAGCTATCTATGTACATCTAATCGATCTAGAGATTTGTGAATTGAGCGAGTAATCTTGTCAGTACTCACAGGAGATGCGGCGTCTCTCGTGAGGAATACCTTATTCCGATGTGCTTCCCGGCGGCGGGCGTGGAAAACATCTCCGCTGGCGATTACCAGCAGGGTGGCGCTCCAGATCTAGGGTTAGGGGTGGCGGCGGAGATGGGAAAGCTTGAAGAGGTTAGGGGAAGTGTAAGAAAAGCAGCGGGGGGGAAAAAAGGGCAAAAAGATTTGCTGGCGTGGAGAAGTGAAGGGTGAGTTATGATATTTTTTAGTAACCAGGGTGGTTTGTGCATATTAATTTTTATTCGGCCTGCGGCGTCATCCACTTCGGTGTGATTGACACGTGTCCGTTACCTGTTCGAAGAGAGATGGTACCAAGGCACCCTGGGAGGTTGAGCGCTGTGCGTGGCGCTTCGCCCTATCTGGATCCGCTTCGTGGAAATCGTTTCGTACGATTAATTACCGGCATTTCCAGGTAAAGTAAATGTATGAGTGGACCGATTTTTAAAATATATTATCTTCCATTATGGTTAATTTAATTGATAAATATATATTTCCCTAAAATAAAATAAAAATAAATATTTTAAAAATTTTACCATAATTATTAATTAAAATTTTTGCAATAATTAAATTTATAAGAGAGTTTTATATTTTTGGGTTGTAAGAATGTGTTGCACTAACAAATGAAATTATAAGTTGTAATATAGAAAAAATCATGGAATTTGATTTAGCGGAAATGGTCCATTATAGAAATATGTTCTTCCCCTTAATTAGAGGGAAGGATTATAAAATAAAAATATAAGCTTGATCTTCTATGAATGTGGTGGAGAATACTAGAGATACAGTAAAGGGTGATGAAAATGGTCTACTGTCGGCAATCAGAAAATGATGGCTGAAACTAAGGAATTTTTATTAGGTCCGGTGTCCTGACGTAACTCTACATTCGGACGCTAGTAAAATGGTGCAATGTGCTCTTACTCTTTACCGCGCGGTCCGACGACCCAACCAGGACCGGACCCAGGATTGCTATGTATTAACTTATTTGTGCAGACTGTGGTATTGTTAGGTATTGCTCGATATTGTACGGCAATAACGAGAAATATCATTCTGTGAAAACCAATGCCTAGCAATATCGAGCAATACCGCGCAATACCGAGCAATACCAAACGATACCGATTTTGCTAGATATTGCTCTGTATTGTTCTTCACAGAGCAGTATTTCTCGTTATTGTCAAGCAATACCGAGCAATACCTATCAATACCGAGCAATACCAAGCAACACGCGAACATAGCAACCCCGGGTTTCGGTCCAGGTTGAGTCATCGGGCCACACGGTAAAAAGTAAGAGCACGTGGCGACATGTTATTGGCGTCCGAACGTAGAGCTACGCCAGGACACCGAACCTAATAAAAATTCGAAACTAAGATAGTTGATGATGGTGGTCAGACGATAGTGGGTGAATTTTGATGATCTGACAATATTGGTTAGACAATGAACAATCGTGATTATACAATAGTGGTTATTGGCAATTATCATAGGCATTTTTTGTCTGACATGCTCTTCAAATTTGTAAGCTCCGTCCATATTTAGGTCAAAGAACCTTTTATATAAAGAATTTATCTTTAATAATTTTTTGGTAAGATAATTTAACAAGTTTAGTCAAAATCTCAAGACATTCTATCATATAGGTCATGCTAATTCCCTTGTGTTAGACTATTACTTCAATATTTAAGTGCCTTGTTGATCTTGAAATTGAAAAATCTTAGGCTTGTCGGATTTCTCTTGTCAAGATGCTCATTTTGAGTATAAGCATGTTAGTTTTGGAGATTATTTGGTTTATTAATTAATATTATAAAGTTTTTAATAACACTTCGAAGGCCTTATTTGATTTCCATTTGAATCAGATTAGATTAATATTGGTGTCATTAATCTCATCTCTTTGAAATGTTTAGTTTCACTATAAATTTGTTGAATTTAAGTTTGAATGATTTTGAATTTAATTTTAAAAAGAATTTGATTCAAATATAGAATTAATGCTTAATCAAATTATTTTTTGAATTTCGAAATCTTTCTCATATTAAAATGAATTAAATTTTGAAAAAAATTTAATGCATAACTATAATTGCTCTAAAAAAAGGGAACAACCACTCTTTAAGCTTTAACATTGATCTCTCCTACTTATCATGAACCATATTAATCTTTAAAAAATCAAATTTTCTAAAATTTGTACATCAATTGGAGCAAAAATTGTTAAGAAGTTTTACTCAAAACTTTTGAGGTTTTCACAAAATTTATTGTAGAAGCTCCGGTGGACTCTAAAAGTGTAAAAATTAGTTTTAGAATGTTAGAATATGATTGTGAGTGTTGTTAAAATACTTGATAAGGCCTTTTTAAACTTAAAACTAGAGCTTAATGCCAAGTATTGGTCACATCTCTTGGGTGTGTGATGTGTTAAGTTAATTTTTTTCACAAAATAAAATAGAATAGTTTTAAATTTTTTTTTTTTTGCAAATTTACTTTGTTCACATTTTGAGGGGATATTTAGATTGATGTCTATAGAGTGGTTGGGCTTTGTAATTAGTCTAAAATTTTGATTTCACTCTAGAGATTTTGAAGATCCAAATTATTTTTAAAATCATAGACTTTAATATGCAAAAATTGGGAAGCAACAAATACATCACTATAAAAGCATGAATCCTGATGAAAGTATATGAATCAAAATCTCTTAGTAAACTTATAGTTGAAATTAACATTTTGATGAGATGAACCTATTGACACCATTTGAGGGACCAAATTATATCACAGTCTTGTGTTCTTATAATCAAAATGAACATTGAAGAATGCATAATATGATGTCATCACTATACTCAAATGTTTAGAAAATAACAAGTGATTAAGAGAAATCACTCTAAGAATATTGAAGAGTGCTTGTGATTTTTTTTTGGGGGGGGGGGGGGGGGGGGGGGTGAACCCGAAACACCTCTCCGAAAAATTATAAATAGACTCTCATTCAAACATGAGGAGGGCTTAACATGTGAGATAGCTGAAATATTTGAAGAATTCTAGAGCTATGTTTGATGATTGATTCTGATGATTACTATAAATGATAATTGTTGCCTTACCAATAACATTTTATAGCTATTTCCATTGATTTTGATGTTTATCGCTATTATTGAGGCAAATGCACATCACTAACATAAACCCCAAAGCCCATAGATGTTGACAAGTTCATTGCCAATTGCTTGCCACAATATCAATATTCATCAATACCTATAAGGTCAACGCTCTCCATAATTCTAATATTTGTCGATGCCAACAAGGCCATCACCCATAATTGCTAACAATGTTGATGCTTGCTGATCCCAATAAAGTTGTTTCTCTCCATCAACACTAACTTTGATGTCTATTGATGCCAATAAGATTTTCTCCTACCATTGGATTTTTTTGTTTCCAATATGGATAATAACAAAGTTTGACATCTACATATGCCAATAAGGTCACCGCCCACCATCACATTCAATTTTAATGTTCACTATCATCAACAAAGATAGCACCCTTTATCAACATCAACTACTATGTCCTCTAATGACAACAACATTGTTTCCATCAACATTGATGTTCATTACCACAAATTAGGCCAATGCTCATTTGTAACACTAACAGCAACAACCACTAAAGTGAATGAATTCATTGCCCATCTTCGGCATCAATGCTCGCCAACACTAATAAGATTGTCAATTTGCATTGCCAAAATGTCAATGTCATTAACATCAATAATATTGATGCTCGTCGATGTCAACAATATCATTGTCCTCCATCCACAACAATGTCTATCAATGTTGACCAATTTATCGCTCACCATTGATACTAATGTTTATGCCTAATTTCAACAAGAATGTTGACATTAACCATCATTAATAAGTTTTTTTTTTAAACACCATCACTAATAAGTTTTATGCATGTCATTGACACTAATGTTGATGTATAATGATGACAATGTGGTCATTGCTCATCATTGTAAATAACATCGATGCCTACTATCATTATAAGGGCCAATGCACTTTGCGTACACCAATGTTAATGTCCACCCATACCAATTGTCACAATCCAATCCGATACAACTCACAAACAAAACATGGTATGACGTGTTGGATGGTTCTAGACCAAGCCCAAGATCTAAGTTTGAAGATTTTTTTAGATTTTTTTCAAATATCAATCAACAACAAAGCTACTAATTAACTTCCAATGAGCAGAAAATCAACTCATCCATAAAGTTTCTTTTCATTTCTTTCATTTTCAAAATGTATATACAAAAAAAATTTGTACACTATAGTGCATGGCTACATATCAGAAAAAAATAATACAGAGAATAATCATGACTGTATAAAATCTAAAAAAACTAAAAAAATACATGCAGAAGATCAGAACCTACAACCCCAGCTACTCAACTGAATCCTTACCATTTCCTTAATCTCAAACAAAATGCATTATAAGTGTGGGCTAATACAACTCAACAAGTCACATCCAATAATCTAATTTTTTAATACCATATTCAATGTGCATTTATTTATTTAAAAGAGTTAACAATAAGCTATTACTGATCATAGTAAGGCTAGCAGATAACAAAAATTAAACAGACTTTACATTGAAACCAGGTTAACAAGTATTTCATATATCATAGTAGAAAGTAACAGAGTTTCATCAAACCCTTATTCCTCCCATCATAAACAAATATCATAATTCAAACTCTTATGACTCTCTATGGTTAAAATATCAGATATTAAAAAAAATTAGGCCCTTATAACTCCCATTGCATTTAGCTTAATAGAACTTCCTCAAACATCAAAACTTCTCATAATCACATATTCCAAATAGATAAGCACATGTATAATGTCTTTTCAATGAAATAAATGAAAATAACCAATTTGTTGAAATTCCCATAATGTTCTATAATTAGCCAATAAATTCAATGATTGATTAAATTTTCATAAATTTTAGAATTTAATCAAATTATCAAGGATTATTCAGGATGTTATTTTGAAGTTCTAATTGTACTACATTATTTTTAGAAGTAAAAAATGTTTTTTAACTTTACTAAAAATAGTGCACTTTTTAATTTGCATGTTGGAAATTTTTAAAGAAAATATCCAAAATATTTGTATCTATAACATATAGAAAATTACACAGTATAAGTTTAACAGATGAAAAGTTATCCCCATTTTTATACTAAGAAATTATAAATTTAATCAGAAAGATCTTAACATTTTCAC